AAAGAAAAAGAAAAAAGGAAATAATATACTTCCTTAGTCTCTTCTTTAATGTACTTCCCTCAATTGGCCGAAACAGACTGCTTCTCATGTTAGATATTTGTATATATTTAAGATTTATGAAAGAGGGCAATATGGATATGAGAATAAAGAACTGAGCTGACGGAAAACCTAAATTTAAGCCTGTCATTGTTTGAGTGACTGAATAGATTATTTCATTGCACTGTGACTATCTTAACATCTACCAAGTGAAGAGATAATCTATGCCTTCCTTATTTTATAGGGATGATCTGAAAAGAAATGAGAACAGATGCAAATTCCTTTGCTTTTTTGGAGCAATGGCATTAATTCTCTTAATTTATATTCAAAAAGTCATCCAGGTAATAAAAACTTGACTCTTTGAAAATGATTCAAAATTTTAACTGATAGTCACTGTGTGTGTGCTTGCACAAGACACAGATAGATCTCCATGAGCTGTCAGAGTTCAGCAGCTAGTATTCCTTATATTAGTATACACACACCCTTAGCAGTGGTGCTATTCAGATATGGATATTTCTTTGTATGTGTTCATGTGTGTATTTTTCCTTTTTTCCAGTTATAATGATAAAATAACCTTTAGGAAAAGACCTGACTCCCCAGAATCAATATTTGAATGGAGGCTCAGGGAGAGAGTAGGGTGCTAGAAATCAACACTGTTGTCCTTTCCTCAGATAATTTCAGGGGAAGCATCAGTTAGACAAAGAGAACTCCTAACACCTCATTCTGTTTGGCTTTCAGTCACTGTTCACTATTGGCCCTGACCTCTTAATGCAAAAAAAATATAAGCTCACAGTGCTATAATAATGACCTTCAATGATTAAGTCTCATGGAAATTTTAAATGAAGCTCCAAGAAGAGGTTGGTATAGATTAACATAGGCTTCATTAAGATCTTTTATCTTCATTAAGATAATATTATTTTAAAAATCCTTTTAGTTTGGTTCACATTATTAAAATGACTCATATATAGTCATACCTCTACCTTGTTCTAGAAATATATATATATGGCACATAAAGTAACCTGAAATATTGTTGCCACCATTAACTGACCAGCTTCTGAGTTTGAAAACACTATTAGCAATTCAAATCAATCATTCAAGTATGTTTATCATAATTATCCTAAAATTGATTGTTATATTTTCACTTTTTAAAAATATATTTCATTATCTTCCCAAAACTCATAAACTACTTAGTCTTCTCTATTTCAAAGTGAGCTATATTATATCAAAATGAATTCTACTGTCATA